GACCACGGGAGGTTAATATTGTCTAGCAGAATTTTCTGCACTTCCACTGCTTGCTGGACATTGGGGGTAAATTAGAGCTAAAGAACAGCACACAACACTGAGGCTACATCTACACTGGCATGATTTTCCGGAAATGCTTATAACGGAAAAGTTTTCTGTTAAAAGCATTTTCGGAAAAAGTGCATCTAGATTGGCAGGATGCTTTTCTGGAAAAGCACTTTTTGCGGAAAAGCGTCCGTGGCCAATCTAAACACGCTTTTCCGCAAAAAAGCCCCGTCGCCATTTTCACGATCGGGGCTTTTTTTGCGGAAAACACTACTGTGCTGTCTACACTGGCCCTTTTGAAAATGACGATCAGGGCTTTTTTGCGGAAAACACTACTGTGCTGTTTACACTGGTCCTTTTGCGCAAAAGTCTTTCGGAAAAAGACTTTTGCCCAAACAGGAGCAGCATAGTATTTCTGGAAAAGCACTGATGATCTTACATGAGATCGTCAGTGCTTTTCCGGAAATTCAAGCGGCCAGTGTAGACAGCTGGCAAGTTATTCCGGAAAAGCGGCTGATTTTCCAGAATAAGTGGCCAGTCTAGACACAGCCTGAGGGTATGTCTACACTGCAGAGTTTTTTCCAGAAAAACAGCGGTTTTTCTGAAAAAAACCTTCACTTACATCCACACTGCAATCGTGTTCTTTTGAAAAAAAAACAAAAAACGAGAGAACAGAGGGATTTTTCTAACATTGGTAAACCTCTTTCCACGAGAAAGAAGGCTTTTTCTGAAAGAGCTCTTTTGGAAAAAGGCGTGTGTGGACGAGGAAGAGGGACGACTTTCGAAAGAAGAGAAAAGAGGAAAAAGCACAGGTGCCCTGGTGGCCACTCCGTCCGTAGCAGTCACAGCTTACATGCTCTATCTGTCAACAGGGAAGCTAGCAGTGTGGCCATGAAATGTCGATAACGGGAGGCAGAAAAACTAGTTTGATTGGTTTTCACTTTTGGCGACGTTTGCATGTTGACAGCCCTTTTGGTGCCAAACCTTCCTTGTGTAGACATGGCCTAAATTATTTTAATTTTAGCCACTGGGGAGGCAGCCAGCCAACCCATGAATAAATGAAAGAAAATTCTCCATGGGAGAGAACATGGGGTGTGTGTGTGTGTGTGTGTGTGTGCGTGTGCGTGTGTGTGTGTGTGTCTTCTGACATGCTGCATTGGCTCAGCTACACAAAGTCTATGTCTACACTGGCATGATTTTCTGAAAATGCTTTTAACGGAAAAGTTTTCCATTAAAAGCATTTTTGGAAAAGCGCGTCTAGATTGGCAAGATGCTTTTCCGCAAAAGCACTTTTTGCGGAAAAGCGTCCATGGCCAATCTAGACGCGGTTTTCCGCAAAAAAGCCCCGATCGCCATTTTCACGATCAGGGCTTTTTTGCGGAAAACACTACTGTGCTGTTTACACTGGTCCTTTTGCGCAAAAGTCTTTCGGAAAAAGACTTTTGCCCAAACAGGAGCAGCATAGTATTTCTGGAAAAGCACTGATGATCTTACATGAGATCGTCAGTGCTTTTCCGGAAATTCAAGCGGCCAGTGTAGACAGCTGGCAAGTTTTTCCACAAAATCAAATGATTTTGCGGAAAAACTTGCCAGTCTAGACACAGCCAAAATGGCTGAGGTTGCAGACAGTAGACTTTATGAAATAAAGGCGCATTGTACTCGGCTGTGCATTGTATATGGAGTAGAGAGAGAATCTGATTAGATTATCTACTGTGATTAGACAGCTAATCTGATCAGATAGAGAGTAATCTAATGGATAGACAAACAAAGACCTTGTTCATTTTAATCAGTGCAGCTAATCTCACTAAATAATCTATGCAATTGTATCAGATTACTTAGCTATCAGCCTTTTAATCTAGACATCCATTGTGAATACATCTTCTACGCTGTCATCAAGATGTGTTATGACATGTAACACCAGCAACAAAATCCATAAACATCTGTAGAGTCCTGCCAATCTGCAAGTATCCGCTTTATAACCGCACTGGGGGATGCGGATCTCTGGGGCTCATTTTTGCACGTGTAGATGCAGATACCAGTTTTGTATCCGCACAGGACTCTAAACAGTCAATACTGTGTTGACGACAGCACGTTCCAAATTAGGCAAGGACATTGGGCACTATCTTTCAGGAAAAGTGTGGAGAAATTGAAGAAGGTCCAGAGAAGAGCAGCAAAAATAATGAAAGGTCTAGAAAACATGACCTGTGAAGGAAGACTGAAAGAACTGAGTTTGTTTAGTCTGGAGAAGAGAAGACTGAGAGGGGACATGACAGCAGCTTTCAAGGACCTAAGAGGGTGCTACAAGGAGGAGGGAGGAAAAGTATTCTCCTTGGCCTTTGAGGATAGAACAAGAAGCAATGGGCTTAAATTGCAGCAAGGGAGGTTTAGGTTGGACATTAGGAAAAACTTCCTGTCAGGGTGGTTAAACACTGGAATAAATTGCCTAGGGGGGTTGTGGAATCTCCACCCCTGGAGATAGTTAAGAGCAGGTTGGATAGACACCTGTCAGGGATGATGTAGATGATGCTTGGTCCTGCCATGAGGGCAGGGGACGGGACTTGATGCTCTCTTGAGGTCCCTTCCAGTTCTAGTATTCTGTGATTCTGATTGGATATGTGCTCTGGGTGGGACATGGAACCCATTTTACTAGGGGGTCTCCTAGGAACACACCAGCTGGCATGCGTGTGGCATTTGGTCAGCAAATGAGTTGGAGCCGTAGGGCAGGCCTGGCCTTTGGGCAAGGCGAGTGAGGCGGTTGCCGTGGGCCCCACACATTCAGGGCTCCGTGTAGGGTGGCCAGGTGTCCGGTTTTGAACCGGACAGTCCAGTATGTGAGCTTTCTGTTCGGGAAACCAATTGAGACAATAGAAATGTCCGGTATTTTTTAAATAAGATGGAATGTGGATTGGGACGTCATGTCAAGTGTGTCCGGTATTTTGTGGAATACCTGGCCCCGCCCACCCGGCCGCTCACTCGCTGCCCTGACTGGGAGCCGTGCAGCCGTGCGGCTCAGCCAACCAGACCATGCTGCCTTGGGCCCCGCAAACTCTTTCATAGAATAATCATAGAATAATAGGACTGGAAGGGACCTCGAGAGGTCATCGAGTCCAGCCCCCGGGCCGGGCCTGCAGGCGGGGGTGGGTTGGTTTGTGAAAGGAAGTGCAGCCATTGTGTTTATGCAGGGCTAGCACAGGCTTGGGGTCAAAGACGGGGATTTGGGGGCCCTGGGATCAGATTTTTGCCCTGGTGTGGACACTTTGGGGTGTGTCACTTCATGTCTCTGGGCTTCCTTGGCTAGCAAGCTCCTCTTGGCCTGCCTTGTCTTTGTAGATGGGAAACTCCTTACTCTCCATGCTGGGCCTGGCCTAATGGCCCAGCGAACCAATACTGGGACAGAAATAAAAATCAACAGCATTCCCACATCCGGTTGCCTCCCCAGCCTTGCCATTAAGGGTGTTAGGCCCAGATCCTCCGCAGTACTTAGGTGCCCAATTCACCTGGGAAGTTAGTGCCTAAACACTTTGGAGGCGCTGGGCATGATGCCTCACAAAACTCAGGCTAATGGCCTCGCTCTGCACCAGTCTCCCCACGGTGCTCTTGGGCAAAGTTACGTTAGCTGCTCTGTGCCTCAGTTTCCCCATCTGTGACACAAGGGGGAGACGAACCCTTCCCTGAGCTGGAATGTGATGGGGCGGTGCTCAGAAGCCAGGCCAATGAGGACCATAGTAGTATTGAGCAAATCACCTCTCCTCCTGCAACATTCCCTTCACGGCTGTTTTCCCTGACACCAGGGGCTTCGGGCCTGAAGATGAGTAATACGAGGATGGAGTTTTGCTTCACCTTTGGCGCTTGCAGAAGGGCCCCCCAGGAGGCAAAGACCTTCAGTGTTTAAATAAATATGGAGAAACCCCAGCAAATAATTAATCACTAGAGCGGGGCCTAATTTCTCCACGTTTCTAATCCAGCATTAGCAGTTAATCTTCTTTCTTTACCTCAGGCCTGGAGCCAAAGCAAACTTTACACAGCACAGTAAAGTCTAGTTTTTTTAAAGGGACAATGGCAGAGCTGACAGGCTCCAGAAATTCGGTAATGAAAATGCCGTGCCTTTCACCAAAGAAGCTGACCTCCTGACCCTGGAACAATCAATCAGGGAGACTTCCAAAAATGTCACCCATTAGCTGGTTGGCCCCTACTGGATGGAATCCAACCAGGCCAGTGGTGTGTCCTGCTCCCAGTACTGCTAGTGGTGGTGGATTCTTCTTAGATCCAGTGGCAGGAAGCTGGGCAAGAAAGAGAGGGATCTGAGCTCTGTTCTCCCTTGTGGCCATGATGTTTTGAATGCACTGCTGACAACAGGGAAGTCCTCTGCCACTGACTCCTTGTGAGGCCTTGGGCACCTCATTTACTCTTCCTATACTTCGCTTTTCCCTGTAAGTGAGGAGAACACTCCTTTCTTTCTCCTGCTCTTAGTCTTTTCTATTTACATGATAAACTCCTTGGAGCAGGGAGTGTCCTTTTCTGTGTCTGAGCAGCACAAAATACTAACACTGATACGAACGCTGCACTTTGCATCCAGAGATCTCAAAGGGCTGCTCCCATAATACTAACACTGATACGAATGCTGCACTTTGCATCCAGAGATCTCAAAGTACTTTCCAAACATAAGCCAGTCTCATTAGCCCCCTAGCATGGGGACAGGGAAACTGAGGCACGAGGCCATAACTACACCCATAGTGTGGTTATTGGCATGTCATAGCACCTTGCCGTTCCCACAGAGATCAGAACCCCCTTGTGCTGGGACCACATGCATGAGCCACTAGGTTCCACTGCTCCTGGCTGTCACGGGTGGCAGGAAAGCGGTGGAATATTTTGGGAGTTGTGCTATTTTCTCCCCTTGAGCTGTTCCAGGCAGAGGCCGGAGAGCCCAGCCGGAGAACCCGTCTCTGTCTTTGCAGGTGACGCCAAAAGCAGCCAGCCCCAAGCCCAAATCTGGTTCAGAAAGAGGGTGACGTGTGGATGCACCTGAGATCCAGCTGGCGGCGAGTGGCCTCTGCCTTCCCCAAACCGCGTCGCGGGACTGGGGCCGAGGGAGAAGCTTTTTATAAGCTGGAGGAGCGCCACAGAGAGCAATTGCTGAGACAACAAGAACTGGAGACAAGCGAGAATTAGCCGAGTGGATGATCTCATCACCTGAGCCTTCCCGGCCCTACTGGAGGCATCAGACACCCTCCCCAGAGGGAGGAACTCTCCTTTGCTTCCTTCCATGTTATTTCAGAAACAATCTGAATTCTTGGGACCCGAGTCCCATTTACACCACGGGCGTGTCATCCTGGCGGTGGGTGGATTTTTCTCTGTGCCCAAGGAGAACGGCTCGAACATCAGCTGAACTGTCTAGAATTCCCATGCCTCTGGGCACTACTTTATCATTATGTGTTGCCCTGATAACCCCCAGTCACAGGCCTGGGCGCTGTGGTGCTAGGCGCTGTATAAAACAGAACAAACCCATGATCCTTTGGCCAGAGAGCTTCCAATCTGAGTATAAGATGAAAGTACAAGGGCTGCTGTTTGTTCTCCCCCAGGGGGCCATGGGCCATGCAAAAAGCCAATGCCAGCACCGGCGTTGTTCACATTCAGAAGCCCTGCTGCTTCAAGGATGACTTTTCTAAGGGGCTCTGCTAATGAGATACAGTCAGGGCAGGCAAGGAAGCTGTATTTTATAGTGTGGTGGCAGCCAGCTCAGGGCCCCTTCGTGCTGGGAGCTGCGCAGACTCAAACCCAAACGAGTTTGCAGCCTCTTGGTCCCCTTTCCCAGGTGGGAATACTGAGGCCGAGGGAAGTGACTTGCCAGAGGGGCACAGAGGAAATCAGCAACAGTGCTAGAAACAGGAGGGGGATCTCCAGAGGCACCAGGCCAGGATCTCTCCCACATGCCCACCCCTCCACCTCGTTACATTGGCTTGGATGGAAAAACTTGATAACTCTGCCCTGTAGAAAAGCAAACCAGGAGGGACTTTTTCCTCGAGAGATGGAGGGTGTGGGTCTGGGTTGGGGGGTGGGGTAGTCCCCTGTCTTACTCCAAATCCAAGAGAGCGATTTTTTCTTTCTCTCAAGATATGCTCCCCTCCCCCATCCCCTCACTTTGTAATCTTGACACTGTCCCTTTAAGAATCCCCCAACCCGTTCTCCCACAGGCAGGCCCCCAGCTCCTTGGCTTCCAGCCTGCCCTAGGACTATTCTGTTCCCAGCCACTAGGAGGCGCTATTGCTTCACTAGAGATCACAACAGCTCCCCCTCCCCCTCTTTCCCCACCTGGTCTGGAGGAAAAACTCCTCTCAGGGTCTGTCTACATTGCACAGGGCCCTGGCTCCGGTTTGACCTGAAGCCCTGTTTCGGTCCACACACAAGTCAGGATGAGTCTGGTCAGCGAGCACACAGGGGACCCTGCTAGCAGGGGAGGGTGAGAGCCGGAGTCCCCTGGCAGCCCTGTCCTTTTGCAGAGCAGAGTTGCAGTGCGGACGGACACTCGCCCACAGGGTTGGAGACACGGAGCCGACAGGCCCGGCGCCGTCAGTGCTGGGTTCGAGGTGCCGTGTAGCTGCTCCCTGTGGGCATGTCTACACAGCAGCGTTCTTTCGGAATAACCGATGTTATTCTGAAGGGCGCGTCTACACAGCAAGCCGCTTCTTTCAAAATAAATTCGAAAGAACGGGTGTCTTACTCCGACTCCTATAAACCTCAGTGTGCGAGGCAGAAGGGGAGTCAGAGGTGGGATGGGGAAGTAAACCTCAGTGTACGACGCGGAAGGGGAGTCAGAGGTGGGATGGGGAAGAGGGCTCTATTTCGAAATGAGTGCTGTGTAGATGTGCCCAAATTCGAAATAAGCTATTTCGACTTAAGCGACACAATTAGCATAGCTCAAGTGCATAGCTTATTTCGAGTTTAGCCCTGCTGTGTACACGTGCCCTTAGTCTTCTCTGCTTTGCTCGCAGTCTGGCTCCCAGGGGCTCCTGCCAGCAGGTGTCACGGGGATGCGGTCAGGAGAGGTGTTTAAGAGATGCTGCCACAGATGCTGACTGTATGGATAGGGGGTGGGAATGGCCATAGTCCAATGCAGCAAGGACTGCTTTACAGAAGTCCCTCGGGGCTTCAGCTGAAATCAGGAAGACCCCACTGCAGTGCTTGGATGGCCAATCAGGAGAGATTCCTGTGCCGTCCAGCTGATTAGCAGAGCACTGACTGCCGGCAGCATGTGGTTCTACTGGTGGTGCACATCTGCACATGCTTTGGTGCACAAAACAAAATGTATTCTGCACACGAGTGGAAAAAATTAGAGGGAACATTGTCCCCACCGTGTTAGGTACTGTACATACTGGCAGCAGAGATCCAGATCAGCCCTGAAGATCTACAGTCCCTAGAGACAGAAGATTATTGTCCCATTTACAGCTGGGGAGCAGCACGAGAATCTAAGTGACTTGCCCAAGTCACCCACGATGGCTGTGGTAGAGAACATAAGAACAGCCAGACTGGGTCAGACCAAAGGTCCATCCATCCCAGTCTCCTGTCTGCCAACAGTGATACCAGATACCCCCGAGGGAGGGAACACAACAGGTAATCCTCACGTGATCCCTCTCCTGTCACCCATTTACAGACAAACAGGCTAGGGACACCATCCTGGCTACTAGCCATTGATGGACCTACCTCCATGAATCTATCTAGCTCTTTTTTGAACACTATTAAAGTCCTAGTCTTCACCACATCCTCTGGCAAGGAGTTCCACAGGTTGACTGCGTGCTGAGTGAAGAAAAACTTCCTTTTATTTGTTTTAAACCTGCCACCTATTAATTTCATTTGGTGACCCCTAGTTCTTATATTCACTTTTTCCACACCTGTCATGATTTTCTAGACCTCTATCCTATCCCCCCCTTAGACTCTTCTTTTCTAAGCTGAAAAGTCCTAGGCTTTTTATTGAACGCTTAGTCTGCTGAGTGCCAGGTAAGGGCCTGCCCACAAAGCTGCCCTACCTCTGTCAGAAGAAGCGGAATGCTGGCTCCATTGAAGTCAATAATAAAACGTTGAAGGGGTTCACTGGCAAGAGATGGTTTTGCCCCTAGAGTTGCCGTGTGCTGGTATGTAGCAGCTGGATGGGGGTAGAACTGGGGTATTAGTTGTGATGGGCCTGAACCCAAACCCCAGATCCTCATGTCATGGCTTTTTAAATCCAACCCAGGTTTTGCAGGTGGCCTGTATCGTTTTAAGCATCAGAGCCAAAAAACCTGGGACCCAACCCCCCTGGGACTCTGGGGAGTTTTGGAATGTGGATCTGGACTTCCAGACCTGGCTCCAGCTTCCATATTGATTTTTGCAGCACCTTGTCTGGGGACTGTGTATGTGTGGGGAGATTTGGCTTGGATCCTAATACTCCCACAGATCTGGGGCAGGCTGGGGTATGGCTTGGTCAGAACCTCTCTGGGTTCAGACCCTTGCAACTATCAGCCAATTGGATTCAGGAGCTGAGCAGAGTCAGAGAGTTAAGAAGGAAAGTCTTGTTGCTGGGAGTCACAAACAATGGGTTCGATTCACAGCTCTGCTACTGATCTTTGGAGTGGCCTTGGGCATGTCCCTTCCAGTCCCCTTCTTCTTGCCTCAGTTTCCTTACCAATACAATGATTCTTTGTTCAGCCCTTGGATGAGAAGTGCTATATAGGAACTACGAGGAACCCTGTGGCACCGTAAAAGCTAACAGATTTATTTGGGCGTAAGCTTTCTTGGGCAAAAACGCACTTCGTCAGGAGGGTTGTTCCCCACCAGAGGTGATGCCCTAATAATTGGGCAAAAACTCACTTCGTCAGGAGGGTTTTTCCCCACCAGAGGTGATGCCCTAATAAATCTGTCAGTCTTTGAGGTACCATGGGGCTCCTTGTTGTTTTTGCAGATACAGACTAACACGGTGACCAGCATTCCCTAAAAGCAGGGCACTTCTATGGCCGCTCAGGAAAAATTCCAGTGCTGCCCAGCTGATTAGCAGAGCGCCCATCACTGGGTGTTTTTCTAACAGTGGTGCACATTGACACATGCCTCGGTGCACATAACAAAATTTATTCTGCACACGGATGGAAAAGATTAAACGGAACATTGACGGTGGCACCTTTGCTATAGGAATGAGGTACTGATATTATCCCATCTCATCCTGCCCTCCTGGTCTGTCCTGATTGTTTCCTACAGGCCAGATTCTGCTGTCAGTTAAATTGACCTAAATCTGGAATAGCTCCCAATGCGAGTGGAGTGACTCCGGATTGACACCGCCAAACACACGAACACATTCCTTTTGCCCCGTTGCCAGAGGAGTCATTGTCCCAGTCAGAGTGGTGGCGTCACGCCCGCATTTCCACGGATTTCAATCCAGACTATCTCCTTCAGCGGTCATGGAATTGTTCCTGGGTGGGGGAGCTCTGTGATGGGTGGAATCTGGCCCCAGAAAGGAGCAAAGGGCGCAAAGGAGAGGAGATGGGGGTGGAATGGGAGCGCATGCCCCAGGCCTGGGGTGAAAATGGACCGGTGGAATCTGGCCCCAGAAAGGAGATGGGGGTGGGATGGGAGCACATGCCCCAGGCCTGGGGTGAAAATGGAGACACAGTCCTGACTGCTGGGTGGCTGGGAAGGCAGAGACTTTGCAAACCAGGCAGCTGGGCTGCTGTTTAAGACACCCACACTGGCTTTTCTCCTCTGGGTGGGGGGGATCAGTCGCTACCCTCCCCCCCCACTTCTCCCCTCCCCGAGGCCAGGGGGAGGGACAAGTCAGGGAGCTGACACATAAAGGGAGAAAGCGCTGGAGAGCAGAGGGAGCAGGGCCAGTCACTCAGCAGAGGGAGCGCAGGGCATGCGGGTTGGGAAGCCGGGCGAACCAGCCAGAGGGAAGGGGCGTGAGGCTCGGGGGGAGCGAAGGCGCCAGGGGCTAGTAAGTGACTCGCCAGGGCTAGGAGCCGCGTGGTGCCTTTCTCGGCTGCTCTGCCTCCTTCCCCTCCGAGATGCCCAACTTCTCCGGCAACTGGAAGATGAAGCACTCGGAGAATTTCGAGGAGCTGCTGAAAGCTTTGGGTGAGTCAGGGGCGCTTTGTTTCCCCCCCGATCCCTCCTGGCCTGGGGAGCGCCAGCTCGAGCCGGGGGGAGGTTGAGAAATAGCCGATGACTCAGTGTGGGACAAGCCAGCTGCTTAAAACGACCCCGGCGTCGGCATCATCGGGGGAGGTTTGCCTCCTGAGTCATCCCACGGCTGTCTCCTTGGGCGCCCTGAAACTGACCCGCCGGGGCCGCCTTCTCCGCTTCCGAGCGCCGGCCTGAATCCGGAGTCACTCCGCTGCCGGCTGAGCTCGGTAGAACGCCTCCGGGCTGAGGCGGGGGCGCCCCAAAACTCGGACCAGCCCTTCCCCCCCTTTGTGAAATTGCTCCGGATTGACCCTAATTGGGGTAAATCCACTGCCTATACCTGCAGCCTCTGGATTTACACGGGGAGGGGGGAAACTGAGGCCAGCAATCCAGCCCTGAGATCGTACAGAGTGTGGTTTCCTTCCCCGGGATTTTTCCACTCCCGGGATGGTGTCAATCTGGAATTACTTTAGGGGAGCGGCTCTGAATTTACTGGGGAGGGGGGGAAGCAAAGGAGTTCAGGATCTGGCCCGTGGTGGTGCAGAAGGCGCCTGTTGCTGGGTTGTGCTGAGCCTGATTCTCCCTACCCCTACCCACTGGTGTGGATCAGGAGGGGCCCCTGAAAACCCACTGGTGGATGAGTGGAGGAATTGGCTGTAGTAGCCAGTGAAGGGGGGACCAAGCTGCCTGATGGGAGCAGAGAATTTTCCCCTTTTTGCTTCACCCCCTTTTCCCTGGTTCTGTCCTTTTGCTTCCCTTGCCAGTGCCCTTCCCTGCCCGACCAAGCCCCCGCTCCTGTCTGATCTACAAGGCAGTGGATCCTTGCTGACAAGCAGCAGGAGATGGCTAGGTTAGGACTGACCCTGGATGTGGTAGCTATGATCCGCTTTGCAGATTGTCCCATTGGGATGCAGAGCAGAGCCCCTGGTAGTTGAATCGGGATTCTCCCACATGGGAGGCAGAGCCTGGAGGTTCCCTCTGGCCGTTTGCTGCCAGGCCTGGGCATAGGATGCCCCAGGAGTGCAGCCTCAGCTCTGATCCAGGGCTGTGGTGGGAGGGATCTGGGACTTTCCAACTAGCCCCACATATCTTCAGAGGCAGGGATTAAAAAGCTGAGTGGGGTGACGTGTGCGGGAGCGAAGCACACACAAGGGAGAGAGGCAGGATGGGCTCTGTGAGGAGCTCAGCCTGTGCTTTGGGAGCTGTGGCTCCATGCCTCAGTTTCCCCATCAAACAACACAGCTCCCTGGAGGAGGGTGTGAGGCAAAAGGAGTTGGTTCTTCAATTCTACAGGGTGGGGTGGGGTAAAAATAGCCTGTGAAGCCACAGGGAAGGAGGGGGGTGGTCATGTGGCCCGGTCTGGATCAAGCATTCAGGGGTCTGCTGGGGTCTGGAATGGCTCTTTAGCCCCCTTGTCATCTCTGTGAAGATTCAGTTGCTCTGCCCCAAGCCCCTCTAAAGTCTGGGGGCTCCATGGGAATGGGAGGGGGGAAGTGGGCTGCCCCCATCACACGCCCCTGGCCCCCATAGACAATACTCTCCCTTGCTTGTTGGGTGTTCCAGACTCAGTCTTGAAGCTCAGAAGGGACCACCATGATCCTGTGGTCTGACCTGCACATCACTGGCCACCGAACCTCCCCACCCGCCCAGGGAGTGGGGGAGGGTTGCTGGGACTGTGTGTGTGTGTGTGTGAGCAGGGACACCCTGCCACATGCGGCAGGCAGGTAGGCAGAGCATCTGCAACAAACAAGCAGGAGCCAGCATGAAAACCCCTTTCGATAATGATCTATAATCCTCCTCCAAACACACCCACACCAAAAAAGGGCTCCCTAATCCATTACAGACGTGGTGAGACTGGCTTGAATTACTGACAATGCTCAGCCCTTCTCATCCACGGGTCTCCCCCTGCCTGACAACGGCACCGGAGTAGGGTTATCCTTATTTTACAGATGGGGAAACTGAGGCCCAGATGGTGGGGTGGGGGCAGCAGCTCGCCTAACGGCCACGCTGCTCGTCAGAAACCACAGCAGGAAGAAAACGTAGTCCTCCCGCCGCCCGCTCTATGTCCTTTCCCAGAGCCAGGAGAAGAACTTAGGAATCTGGTACCCACCTCTCTGTTCAGATTGCTGCTCCATGCTCCTTCCCACACCACCAGGGCTTAGTCTGTGCCAGGACTGAGTCCCTGGCCCCTCTGAGCCTGGAGGTTCAGAGCCCCCGGGCCCTCTGGGCTTGGCGGCGTGTGTCCCCCTCCCCCCCCCCTCCATTGCATCCCTCCCTTCCCTGCCCATCAGGCCGAGCACTGCTTGGCCCTGCCACCCGCTGGGGTATTTACGGACTCAAGGTGGGAGCCAGCGTGTGCCCTGCTGAGCTGCTGCAGGTCTTGCTGGGACTAACCTCAGAGCAACCAGCGGGAGCCTCCCCCTGTGGTGTTCTGTCCTGCCCTGGGGCAGGATGGGGCAAAGGGGGGGGGGTGCAAAGGGAGGAGGGGGCTTGTCCTCCCTCCCTCCTGGCTTTTTCTTGCAAACAAGATGGAAGACACAACGATGTGCACTGCTGCTGGGTGCTGGGAGCTGGGTTCCAGTGGGGATACCTCATTTGCCCCCCCCATCCTGAGCTGTGCATTTGGGGGTGGGTTGGGGTGAAGGCAGCACTGTGCAGAGGTGAGGGGCAAAGGGGGCACAGGCCAGGGGGCCCCACCGGGGTCAGGGGAAATGGGGGGGTGCTTTACACATGGGGGCCAGGGGAACTGGGAGGCCCCATGCCCATAAGGGCCAGGTGCACCAAACCATACATTCCCGCGGGCACCATTGTGGACTGGCCTTGCCAGCGTGGACCGGCCCTGGCTGGGGCATTTCCTTTGGGTCTGTCTTCACAGCAAAATACCAGCCAACTCTGGCTTGCAGCTGTGGGGCAGATCCATGGGCCCAGGCTGAGGCCAGGACCCTCCCACCTCACAGGGTGCCAGAGTCACACACCAGCCTGATCCCAGCTGTGAAACAGCCCCACAATCTGAGGTGCCTGGCATGGACCAGCCCCCGGCCGTGTTGACAGACCTTCTGCTTGCTTGGGTGAAGGCAAGTTGACGTAGCGGACAGCGCCCTGCACTGGTGCGCGGGAGACCCGGTTGCTAGTCGTGCCTCTACAAGTGAACTGGCAGGTCAGTCATGTCCCTGCTTCCTGCCTCAGTTTCCCTGTCTCTACAGGGGGTCTCAGGATGCTTCTCTCCTTTGCAGAGTGGGTGGTGAAAAGTGCGAACGAGTTCCAGAGGGGCTGTGTTAACGCAGCCTCCAGGGGCCCCGTGTTTTTCTGCTCTTTGAAGAGCCCCCTCCACTAGGAAGCTGGTGGCCTCTGGCGAGGGTCCTGTGTGTCTTTGCCGGCCAGGCTAAGGTGCTGCTGATGCTGCTGGTTGGATTGGCTGCGGCTGTGGCAGCCGGGAGCTCTGGATCTCAAAGGCGTGAGATTCTGCTGGTGGCGCCCGGTCTGTTCACTTAAAACCTGCTTCAGAGAGAGAGTAATAAACCTCTCCGTGTGCTCTAGCCACTGGCAACTAAGGAACCCAGCACATTAGCATGGGGGATGGGACACCGCCCACCCTTGTAAGGGTACGTCTACACTGCACTAAAAGGCTGCTGGTCGTTTGGGCTCGTGGGACAGGGTGGACATTCAGGGTCTGGCCGGGGCCGGGGCTCGGAGACACCGGGAGGGAGATGGCCGCCAGCTGGAACCTCTGCATGGCAGCTTTCTGCTCCTCAGTCCCAGCCCTGTGACCATGCGTCAGCAGATCAGGGCTCCAGGACTTGCTTTTTGTATTGCCGTGTAGACGTACTGTTCCGGTATATAAAGCTGGGCTTAGACTCCGCTTTGAGTCCAAGCTCCCTCTCCCATCCACACACCCATCTACCAATGTGGCTAAGGAGGATTCTGTCCCATTCCCAGGTGGGGAAACCGAGGCACTGAGCGAGGAAGTGAGCTGCCGAAGGCGGCAGAGGCAGAGCGGGGAATGGCACCCAGGGCTCCTGCCCACTGGATCATAGCGCCCCTTGTGATGGAATAATCTCCTGTAGGCAGCCACCGGCGTGCCACACTCCACCCTCTTGCACTGAAGTGGGGGCAGCTGCAAGTGTGTTGCTTGTGCAAGGTGTGGGGAGAACTGAGGGAGGGGGGAGCGGAGTGTTCTTAAAGAGACAGGCCCCCCTCCCACCAAAAAAAAAAAAAGATTTGTATGGGGGGTGGCTGTGTGGGAGCTGGGATCCAGGCTGTTCACGGCTATCTGGGCTCCTGGTGTGATCCTGGGAATTTAAAGGTGGGGTACCCCTTGTGCTGCAAGTGGGTCTCGAATGCCTTCCCACAGGATCGACCCCCTTGAAGATGAAATGGCCCCGGGTGTTGGAACAAGCCTTTCGGGTCCAATGTCCCAGCACTTGGCATGCGGGAGCTTCCGCTGGGGAACAATGCAGAATGTTAGAGAACAATGGAAAAATCCCCCTTTTCTGGCCTACTCCTCCACTGTTGGAGAACAATGGAGAGGCCCGCTCCCCACCACCGAGGACAATGGGGAATGCCCTTCCCCCGCCACGGAGAACAATGCGAGCCGCAGACTTATGGGCCTTTTGGAGGATCTGCCCCGAAATACACAAGTGATCAGACCAGCTAGGTTCCAGCCAAACCCTCAGGCAGTGGGGTGAAGGAACCCCACGTTTCCCCAGCTTGCTCCCTCTCCCCTCCGCGTGACCCTTTCTTAGTGACTGGAGAAGCTAGCGGAGCAGAATATTTTCCAGGTTAGAGGATATGTAACAAATAGTTCAGTATAATTATCACTTACTTATGTTTCACTTGGTTCTCTCCCCTTCCAACCCCCCCTTTCCCTGTCTCCGAAGCTGAAACTCCCAGACGCTGGAGAAACCTCTGCAGAAAAATAAATCTGCCAGCTGATAGAGTAAATCTTGGGCTTT